CCCCCCCCCCCCCTTAATAAATGAAATCATCACCTAAAAACTGAATTTTGTATTTACTCGGGTTATCTTAGTCTAACATTAGAATTTGATCGACCTGAAACATAATGTAAAAAAACTAAGAAATCAGGAATACTGCAAATACTTTTTGAAAGCACTGTAAGTTTATGACTTGTATTCATTATCTACATATGCACTTTGACTACAAACACTATGTGAACCACAGGTCTCCTCGTTCTTCTGTTCTCCTGCAGGTTCCATGTTAATGATGTGTTTATTTACCACCTGCTTTGGAGTACATTCCTCTGTACAATAATGCAACCTCATCTGACTCATCTGCAGCAGTGTTACACAACACATGCATTACCACATCAATTGAATATTAAATCTAATGAGTTCATTTCCCAAACATCTTCCACTCCTGGCTTTTTATAGTCCTCGGCGGACAGCGCTCCATGCACTCTCCTTTAACTTCAGCGCAAAGCTTTAGTTTGAGTGCCTAATTTCATTTCTGAGGAGAGCTCTGATTTGTAAAATCTTCCCAGATTCATCCATGCCCACCTCCCACTTTCCCCCCTTCTGCGCTCCTAATGGACTCTAACTGGCTGGAGGGACTGCAGTCCATTTGCCAGCTCTCAAACCTGATTACTTTGTTTGAACTTCTGACGTTTCCACACGGTGATGTCTTGATGAAGAGAAATGAGGCGGGTTCACCTGCAGCACTCGGGACTAACCAAAGAGACTCATAAATCCGAGCTTTTCTGTGGCTGTATGTGAACTGCGGCACTGTCGTGTTTCAAATTCTTGGTTTTTGTCGTCTGATCCAAAGCGTTTGCTCTCTGTGTGTTTTCAGATGATGTGAGGACTGACTGGAGGATGGAGAGACCATTCCCACACAAACAAAATCCCCTGTCCCTAAATCCCAAAGACGCACAGGAGCAGACAACTTAACTACTTTTACCACCTTGTCTTGTACTATGCAAACTGTACATTTTCTGAACTGTAGATTGTACCGAATTGAACATTTGTCAGTGATTTATTTAGGTATGCAGATGAGTATATGGACACGGGGCTTTGTATAGATTTTTTGTTTTGTTTTTCAGAGGGTGGTTGGGATTTTGTTTGAATTCTGTTGACTTAACTGGGAATCAAACTGTTCCATTTTTATTTGTCATTCCACTGCTTTGTACCATTGAGCCCCGAATAGCCCCAGACTTTTGTTAAATGCTTGGGGAGCGCACACACTGCTCCCGGTGGCTGAAAGGATCGTTTCCAAAATGTAAACTATCACCTCTCGGATCACCTGGTTTGTTTTCCTATCTATCTCGTAGCATGCTTGATGTCAAGTTCCCCTTTAAAAAGCATCGATATGCCGGCAGACTTTGTCTCAGCTGCGATTTTGTTAAAGTAAACTTTTACCCCTTCTGTGCCTACAAAGTTTGTCGTTCCACACGTGGAAGACGGAGGTGAGAGTCGATGTATTATTGGGGGATTGTGTAAAAATGGTTTTGGAAGTTACAGATTTAAATCTAAAGTTGTTTTGAATCTGGGTTTATGAGAGGCCCGCCGTTATCATGTAGAATAGGTTTGGTTTGTTTTTTTAAAAGAGATATATGTTCAGAAATCAGAGGAAAGCCATGATTGCCTTGCTACCTCAGACTCATAGACACAGTTTTGTTTTTGTGGTTCGTAAACACGTCAAACAGTTGTGTGTTCATTTACAACCATGAGCAACCTGGTATAGATTTCTAAGCTTTAGCTCACTGTATTGGTGTACACTGCAATGAGGAGTTACCAAGTTTAAAAAAAGAAAAAAAAAAGTTACTATTACTGTACCACAATGGGTCTGTGGCCTGCTGAAGCTAGCCTCCCGTTATGATGAGTAGTATTTTATCTGTTGTTGGGTTGTTTTGGGGGGTTTTTTCCACTGGCCTTCTAGCACTGGTCCCTCACTGCGTCGTGTTGTTGTGCTATATGCTACCCTGTAAAACTTGTGAGATTGAACAACACTACTATAACCTCTGACTGTAAACTGATGGTGATGATGATTTTAATGATCATGATGAACCGTACCATGGCAGAACTGTGTCGCTTCTCCTGAGGTATGTAAAATAGATGGACCACACTACATGTAATATGGCTACGTTGTTTTATTCAAAATAAAATTTTTATAACAAGTACACGTCCCCCATGTGCTTTCGTTATTACCTCCACCACAGGAGGTTATGTTTTTGGCAACGTCTGCGTTTAAAGTTAAAAATGGTGTTGTCGAAGTTTGTGAATGCGTTAACTCGAGAACAAAGCGATGTAGGAGTTTTAAATTTACACCATAGGTATATCTAATAAAAATCTTGGGATAGTTGGAGTCGACCTCAAAGTCGAGGTCAGAGGTCAAGCTTTCTGAAAGTGTTGTGAATGCGATAATTCGAGATGGAAGTCACCTATGATTTTGAAACTGATACCATCGGTGTATCTACTGGAAGGCTGAGTGGCGCCACTAGCCACTGCCAGCTTGAAAAATTAGAAATGAATTCTGATAAAACTTTGTAGAGCTGTAAAGTCGGGTCGTGCTAACAAGTCGTTAAAGTTTGGCTTATATCCAGTAAGGTTTTCAAGGTCGACTTGATTATCCTTTAAGTCCTGTAATTTGCTAAATGGGGCCTCCGTGGATCAGACTTATTTTCCCAGCACATTCTTATGCTACGCGCCAGGTTATGGGTGAAATCCAGTAAAATGACATTCTAGCCATGTATTCCAGCCCTAAACCTAACCTTATCCCCTAACGATAACCTTAACCAGCACTTTAATAATGTTAAATATTGTTTTCCAAAGCAATTAAAATAAAGTGAACAAACATGTAGATTGATTCCAAACAATTTTCACGTCTCCTCGTTTTTCTTTTCTTGTCATTTAGGGACGTGTTGGGTGCCCTGAAGCGTAATATGTTTACCATTTGTCACCTAGCATAAAATATTACGCTTTGGTAGTGAGAATGTTTTGCCCACACAAGCCAGTCTTAACTCCCCATGTGCATCAGTGAGCCTTGGCTCCCCATGACCCTGTCACTGGTTACTTCATTGGACCACTTTTGATAGATGCTGACCACTGCAGACCAAGGACATCCCACAAGAACTACAGTTTTGGACATGCTCTGACCTAGTCGCGTAGCCATGACAATTTAACACTTGTCAAACTCACTCAAATCCCATTTTTCAATGTTCACTTGCTTCCTTATACATCGCACCCACTAACAGGTGCCAGATGAAGGATGAAGAGCTAATCACTGTAATTCACTCATCTGATCAGTGTATAGAAAGTACCATATAAAAATTTAAAGTATCATGTCACATGTGACCTCTGACCTCTCCTTCAAGGTCAATAGATTGATCTGAAGGTCATAGTGATAAACAGCTCTACATAGCTTCATTAATACTGTTTCTTACTGTCACTGTTTGTACTGACAAACACATATATATTGATATATGTTATGGGGATTGTAAATGTTACGTTACTTTGGACCTCCAACCTCTTCAAGATCAAATAAGGTCAAACTTAAGGCTTAAGTCAAGTTTATTAAAATGAGTTTCAGCCGGGCAAATAACAAAAGCCTGCACTTTGCACTTCTCATTACTATTCTATTAAAAGTGAGACAGTAAGCTGCCTTGGCGCATGTTTGTGCACTTGAAGGTTGTTTAACGCTCTAAATTTTATTAATGTAATGCAGATTAATTAACTCTACAGACTCATAAACTCTAATCAGATTCAAAGCACACCTGTTTTAAGGACTATAGGGCTTATTACAGCCAACTCCTCAGCTGTCATCCAGCCACAGGAGTCATTATTTATCAAAGGAATTGATCACGCAGTGAGAGGTTGTATCATTATTGCATGTTTGCAGTGAGCATGCTGAGCTGTAGCTGAGAACTCAAAATGAATAATGAAGCGCAATTAGCTTTTTCATAATTTACTTAAACCCTTCAGATGGATTTTTTCTTCTTCTTCACTGGAACAGCATTAGTGGTGCTGCACGCATTAATTATTTCACTTTTCTCAGCGATTGCACGATGTTTTGACTAAAGACATTTACCTTCATCTTGCTTGGCTGTTCCTTGATGTTGGCTATGAATGAAAATCTGACAGGACGTGTGATGTCACGGTGATGGAAAATCAGCTCATTTTATCAACCTGTCCGACTAAATTGTCTCCCAGCAGGAGACCGTCAGGACTCTATTAGACCGTGCCAAACCTAAATTGCTTGTTTTTCAGTTTAACTGCTCCTTCCTAAACTTGCAGCACTTCCTGTCATTCTTGCCTCATCGCATCAAACCTGTATAATCTTGTGCTCTCCTTGAGAAAAATTAACTACAGGCACACCCATCTCTGATTACTTTATGCACATTTTCTTCTTTCTTTTTTTTAAGTTGTAACACCTGTACAGATTCAACAAACCAGGCAAGGAAAGTAGTTGATTTCCCCCACCCTGTATTCTTAATGGCGTTCCCCATCATCCAAGGTCCAGCAATTCCATACTTAATAATGCAAGAGTAGCCAAATGGTGGTGCACCCTAATTGGATCTGAGGCTACTACATATTCTGGCTCTGCTCACATCCTTCGGCACCCCTGAGGTGCTTTAATTAGTCCACCACTCCCATATCTGTAATACGCTGCAAGAGTCGGCCCATATATGCGGAGGCTAAGGAAGTTTTAAGCTGTAAAGTATTAGAGTGAGGGAGATGTGCTAATGTAATTTACTATATCCTATAATGAAATAGTGTTGTTGTTAATATTAATCTTACAAGTGAAATTTGATTTTGACTTCTGATGGCCTCATATAAAACTTAGTTGAAATAAGATTGCATGAATTATTAGAAATCTTATACACATTTTAATCCTGTCTGGTTGGAGCCGAGCTCTCGGTGCATCAGGCTGTCAAATTCGAGTGAGGTGCAGTGTTTTTGCTAGACTGAGCAAAAACGCCAGTTTGTCATTACGTGATATCAATTTAAGTAAAGTTCAGGCTAGATCTGGGAAAGAAAATGAATAATTCAGTCTAGACTGGAACTCCCTATAACAGCGTCCTGTGGTTGTAATCTTTATTTCCCAAAGGACCCTGTTGAATAGATGGTGGTGAGGCTGCTTTACTGTGAGGTTTGGCCATAGGGTGCAGTAAGATGTGCTGAAATGACAATATATTTTCAGACTAGATGTTTAATTGTCCCGTCCACTCACTCCTGTGAGTGCTTTATGTTGGATTATTACTTTAGATTTTAAAGATTACTCCTTATCTTAAGTGGTATAGCTGGAGCTCCAACACCACTCCATGATATCAAACTTGTATTAAAACCAGTCATTTATTTGTGAATAGAATTTAAACCCTGAACCGTGTAAAGCACAGGTGTCAGACTCAGTTTGCCTTGTGGTCCAGATAGAGCCCACTCTGATATAGGGATGGGTACCGGCACCGGTTCTGACATAAACGGTAGTAACCAGACCGAAAA